TCGGGCAGAGTGCACTTCCCTTCTGTGGAGCCAGCGGTGTCCGAGTAAGCGTGTGTGAGGAGGCTCGTGAATTATGCTGCACAGTGATTATTTTTTTATAAAAAATAATAACGATAATGTACAGATGTTTGTCAATATACTGCTGGATTAAGGCCTGCCATGCCATGTCAATCATGGACAGTGCAGGTTAACCCAACCCCAATGACTGACAGTGCAGGTTTGTGAAAGGGTTAGATATGGTTCATAGGACAGCGCGGTAACCACTCTATCCCCACTCCACCCCACGTTTTTCAACGGTTTTACTTAACTTGATTCCTCTGTTTGTCGTGGTCAAATCTTGTAATCAAAATTTCGTCCACTTCCCGTTGTCCAATCAATTCCACATTTTACACACGTACCCAGATCCGGTGACAAAGCATGCCTGTATCAATTAATACATTAATTCGCTACTTTAAAGCAATTTACATTTAGTATGGACGCCTTATTATTTATACATATATTTGTGTAGGTCAAAAACGCAGCGGTCCCTAAACTGTGGAATCGTCTCGTACAAAAAGCAGGCACCGCATGTCTCAGGCGCCATTGACGTTCTTCTCGACCGTGAGTTAAACGAAGTTGTTAATGAAACCGTTGTTTTAAAAATAAACTTTTAAAAAGAGTTTATTATAATGTGTCGTGCCATTGTTCGGCGGTATGGTTATCACCATTGATTCTTACCTGCAGTAGCAGACATGTGCCAACAGAGGGTGGTAGACAGGATAGGTGGGATGAGTCGGGCCGTTGGGCCTCCAACAGGACAAACTGGACCCCAGACCCCAAGAGGGGGACTCGGGGGGGATGCTGTTACATTCCAGGGCCCCCTAGAGAGTTCGAGAAGGAAGGTGTGGTTAGGGGCGGAGAGACTCTGGAACGGGTATAGAAGCCGGACCTCTGAACGGGTCCGTCAGTCATCCACCTGAAGACCTGAAGATATGGAGATCTGAAGAAGCACTCTGAAGACCTGAAGCGAAGAGCCCAAAGGGCAGAACCCGAACTCCTGGCTAGGGTCAGGTTCAAAGCTTACCAGTCTAGGGTAGAGCTATAACCAGAGTGAAGGCACATTAGTCCGGAGGGGCTACCTCCTTAGGGTATAGGGCAGGGGTCTGCAACCTTTAAGACATAAAGAGCCACTTGGACCCGTTTCCGAAGGAAAAAATAAACTGGGAGCCGCAAAACCATTGCGACATTTAAAACAAATATAACACTGCATATATTGTTTCTTACCTTATTGCTATATACAGGATCGTGCAGTCAGCTGTCAATCTGAATTAAAAAAAGGACTTTTTCACTTAACAATGTAAAATATATTTTTGCAAATTAATAGCTAAATTACCTGGTTAATGGGATTTTTGCTCCTGAACCTCAGTGCACAGTGTCTGCACATCAGGGCTGTAAGACGTCACCTTCATTTTCACACAGGCTTGCAAGCTGTCATCTGAGGCGTGATCGATGTTTGTTTTTAATATAGTTCATGTTGGAGAAGACCTGCTCACATACATATGTGGAGCCGAAGATCGACAGGACTCCAAATGCATACTTTTTCATGTTTATATAAGTGTTGGGGATGGCATTCCATGTTTCGAATACAAGTTTGTCCTGTTTGGGAAGGTTTTCAATATCACTCCATTTATGATTCTGAGCCAGAATGGCCTTCTGACGGGCAACATCCTCAAGAGTAGCGGTCAAGCATTTGAACTTGGACACCCATATATCTTTGTCGGCTATATCGGCCAGTTCCATCTCAAGATCAGGTTGACTTACACCTGCAAATGCAGTCATATTCAATAGGGATGGATCGATCGCCAGGGGAGTGACAGGGAAGGATAATGTCGTTTTTTCCTCTCTGAACTCACAGAATCGTTTTCCAAACGAACTTTGCATTGCAGTGATTGCAGACTTGAAATATTCCAAATTTATCGTATCATGACTTTGTTTGAACTCTCTCAAAGAGGGAAAGTGAGACAGTGTACCTCTCTGTAAATCTTTGACAAACACTGTCAACTTGCTTGCGCTCGAATGCCAAAACCTCCTCCAGCATGTGCAGGGCTGTGCCTCCTTTCCTCTGAAGGGTTGTATTTAGCGTGTTTAGATGTGCTGTCATGTCTACCAGGTGTCACAGTGCGCCTCCTCCCCTCGCTAGCATCCGCCCCGGAGCCGCGGTCAAGGTTCAAAAGAGCCGCATGCGGCTCCGGAGCCGCAGGTTGCCGACCCCTGGTATAGGGTATAAGGAGCCATTACCCCTTTGTGTTATGCACCCTTAGTTATAATAAACGTGTTGCCTCCAGAAAGTCTCGCGCTCCCTGTTTACCCACTACATATGCATGTCAACCAGACAATTGAATTTGGCCTGCACGTTCCATATACTATGTACTGCATGCAGAATTACATTCTATTGTGTAGTATATATGTTGATACTGATCTACACACAAACAACAAAGTCACATTTGCTCCATTGTCAACATTTTTGGTTACGTTGTTGGCCCTGTGCTAATCGTGAACATTCCACATAATGGCAGAGGTCAGTTTTGCCCATACAATGACCACCACAAAGTAATACATTACTCCATGTATGCAATACATGCACTCTAACACGTGTGTATTATGAATCAACTTGTTTCCCTCTTCACTAGAAGTTACGTTTGATGGTGACAACGCATGGCAATGTGGGCACAGGACATGTGATTGTGGTAGGGACGTAATTAATATGTTTGTGATGCAAATAACCTTGGCTCTAAAAGGAAAACAAACAGTGCCTACCACTTAGTTCCAACGCTAAATGTTCTCAGGGAACATGTTCTCAGGGAACATTTAACAATTTGTAAATTGCGCCCTTTGTCTTGACATCTGAATTTTCATTTATCTTACTGCTTTGCTGAAGTTATTGAAGATGGTGTGTATGTATGCATGAAATACTTTCGGTTTTGTTCCTCTCAAACTAAGGTACAAATTTATGAAAGAAAACATTGGGCTTCAGTGTTATCAAATGTGCTTCCTGAGAAGAGTGACAGCTATATATTGTATTGACCTTTCAGAATTTGAATTTCAATCCCATCATGTAGCAGTTGGAAATATCATCCTTTGAAATATTATTGTAGATGTACGTATGTGGAGAGTGGTGCTATCGTGGTTAATGTCATTTATAAAGATTGGCAGCCATGATTAATCCACTGCTGGTTGAAGGCCTCCCTAAGCTGTTGCCATCTCTCATGATGTTCCTTGTTAAAATGCTGGTGGTAAAAAGTTTGTTTCCTGAGCATGACTTCATAACAATTATAATAGCAATGGCAATTTCCACCTGAATATGACTTGGGACTCTTCATTCATCAACTCAGGCTGTGTAAAATGGGTAACTTATGTGGTGTGGCCAAAGTGAGCACTGGAGCTACAAATGCAATCAGGTGTACTTGGTGTCAACCACACTATTGCCTTGTATTTCATGTCAGCTTTAATCGGTGCTTACTCACAGCACCTGCCTATTGAGTCTCTTTGGCCAAATCTGGGTTCTTTATCTGCCTCAAAATAATTATGTTTTTCTTTTGCCATAGAGCTATCCAAAGATAATGTGTAACAGATATGGTATTTTAGCAGTATATCACCCATTGTGTTATTTATCATTTGTGGGAAATCAAATATACTGCATGAATAATGCACGCACATACACATGCATATGTTGATTTAGTGCCAAAACATGTAATCTTTGCTAGTTCAGTTAGAATACACAACAAGGCCAAGCCCCATGTAACAGATTATTCCACTGTCAATGTGTGTGTTTATGGATTGGTGGGTTTATTAAGTTGCAACAAACTATAACTCTGGGAAGCAGCATGCTGTACGCGTCAAAGGAAATGCTACAACGCATACACATGTAAGCGCAGCTTACAGGTCATTTCATGTGTTTTATAGGGGAAATTATATTCTGCGGTATAATGATTTCCCCCAAGCAGTACACAACTGCTCGCAAAGATTTTAGTGTATGGTATGCTCTAAATGCACTGAAGACTGGCTCCGCATTGCTACAATGGGTATCTTTCTTCTGAAAATCTTACTTTGAAGCTTCTCTAACATCCCTGCAAGTGAATGCTCAAATTCATTTTACATTTAAAATCCAGTACGATTCATTAGCAAAGCAGGAAGCTTATCTCACAATTCAATGAATTGTCAGAATTAATTGTGAGTTTTTGCGTGCATGTGTTATTGTGTTAATATATATGTGTGTGTATGTATGTATTTTTGTTTCTGTGCGTACATTCATGTGTGTCTGTGTGTGCGGCGGGGAGCGGTAGTGTCGTGTTTAGTGCGCTGCACTACGAACCTGGCGACCTGGGTTCGATTCCCGCTCACAGCCAACACCAGTGAGGCCTTCATACAGCAGCGGATTCGCAAAAGGCTGCAAATAAAAAAAAACTAAAATTAGTAGACATCGAAGATGTTCTGATAGCGCTTTCCAGTGATGTTAGCCAAAAATCTATTCAATTCGTTGGGCTCATAGCTAGCACGCTAAACACTATAACGCTGCTCCCCATATCTGTGTACGTGTGTGTGTGTATACGTGCATAGTAGGGAGCGGTAGTGTAGCGTTTACCGTATTGTGCTATGAACCCGTTGACCCGAGTTCGGTTCCTGCTTATGGTTAACACCAGTGACGATTATCTGAACCAGTCTCGGGCCTCCCTTAGGTCCACTCAGCCTCAAAGGAATACTTAGTAAAGTGTGTAAACTTCGCCACAAGAGAGACAATGGCAGCCGGGCATGGTGTTGGCCACCCACCCCTTCGTGTGACGTGGCGGTCTTCATAGGTGCTCGCGAACAGCACTTGCCCCAACAGTCTGCTAAGGTTATACTGGGGATCTTTGTATTTGTGTTTGCACCTGTGTGTGCGTATTCACATATGCGATGCATTTTTGAATTGTGTATTAATATATATGCGTGTGTGCGTGTGTGTGCTCAACGTGCGGTTCCAGGTTTCATGATGCGCACGCGGCGCGTGCTGGGCGGCCCTGTCGGTGCTGGTGGCGCACCCGATGGCTGTCCCCACCTGCTGGAGGCAGTGCCGTGCGAGGGCGCACGCTGTTTCCGCTGGCGCGTGGCCGAGGTCAGCATCTGCATCCCCACCAACACCAAGTGCGGCGCAGGCACCCAGTTCCAGCGCGTCGTGTGCACGGACCAGCGCGGTATGACATGGGCACGGCAACACGTGCGCCAACACTCTAACCGTACACAGCAGTGGCAATAACAACAGTTTACCTTCACAACTAAGTGACGGGGACGTCACCACGATGCTTGTGCCAGGCTACTTGCACTTTTAGGTCATGTGAAGTACTGTACTGTATTGAAAGCTCTTTGGCTGGCAGTTATGGAACTAGGCCCAGGTGGTATGGTTTAATTTACTGAGATAATTAGCCGATGCACAAACTGTGCTCTTCTCCAGATTTGAAGCTTTCATGACTGCAAGGATTCATACTCTTAGGTTTTTTCAGTAAAGTCACGTAGGTAAAACAATAATAATAAAATAAATAATAAAAACTATAGAAACGATAGCATAAATAAATGTATAATTAATTCGCTTTACTGTTTTCTTTTTATTATTAAAAATCTTGTGATTTATTATTTTATTTCTATTAGTATTTCTATTATTTGTTTTTCTATTTATTTATTTCCCTACGTGACTTTACCGAAAAAACCTAAGAGTATGTGCTCTTCTCTACTTTGGCAATAATCGCCACTTGAGAGACATCTGAAAAAGAGCTTTATAGCTCCTAAAATTCCTCCGGTATAAATAAAGATTCTCATTCTGTCAATCATGTACACACTGATACACAAAAGACAAAGGTAACCCATATAGCATGCACAGGCAATGCTGTTCGTGAGCACTTGTGAAGGCTAATACGGCCACATGGGCGGCTGGTGTTTTCACCACCATGCCCGGGCGCCTTTGTCTCCCTAGTGGCGACATTTACACACTGTACCAGGTACTCATTTGAGGCTGAGTCCACCCAGGGGAGGCCCATGACCGGTTAAAATAGTCGTCACTGTTGTTGGCCGTGAGCGTAAATTTAACTCAAGCCACCAGGTTCATCGCGCTGCATGTTAACCACGACACAAATACAAAGACAACAATCCCCTTCATTTCCTATTAGCAGACTGTTGGGACAAGTGCTGTTAGCGAGCACCTTTTAAGGCCAGAATCTTACATGAGGGGGTGGGTAGACAGCACAACGCCCAACTACGTTTGTCTCCCGAGTGGGGATGTTTCCACACTGCACTTGGTACTCATTTGAGGCTGAGTCGACCTAGGAGAGGCCCACGACCAGTTCAGATAATCATCACTTGTGTTGGCCATGAGCGGAAATCGAACCTGGGTCGCCAGGTTTGTAGTATAGTGTGCTAACCGCTACAACGACAAAGATCCCCTGTATAGCCTGTAACTGATGGTTGGGACAAGTGCTGTTAGCGAGTAGCAGCACCTATGAAAGCCGGAACGGCACACAGTGGGTGGGTGGCCAACACCACGGCTGCCCGCCTTTGTCTTCCCAGTGGCGATGTTTACACACTGCACCAGGTACTTATTTGAGGACTGAGTCGACCCAGGGAAGGCCCAGGACTGGTTCAGATAATTGTCACTGGTGTTGGCCGTGAGAGGGAATCAAACTCGGGTCGCCGGGGGTTCGTAGCACAGTGCACTCACCGCTACACTACCGCTCCCCACAACCTATACACTACCGCTAACCGCTACACTACCACGTACACACATACAAATGGATTAGTTTTTTGTGTTCGTCATTGTAACAGTGTCATCATCAATATGCATCGCCGTCATTTGTTTTTCAAGTACATTTTTACATTGCTGGAATTATTTGTTCAAATTATTTTCAATCGTGATATTTTCCACCTTTTATGATTGTCATTCTCTTCTATATTTTGTCTTTGTCGACCTTGTTATCATTGCTGTTTGCAAAAATGAAATGTCTGCGCTTCAACATTTTTGAGGAATTGGACAAATTTTACATCATTACCATTGCTTGGCTTGATCGGTCATGCTGTCAAGTTGATGCGCGCCGTCAGCTTACCACAGAAATTTTGTTATAAAAGGTTAAATAAAGACAGTGACACGGGTACATATATGTACTTACTGCACCTATATCTACATGAGAAACGTGCTGGCAAGTGTTTGCAGCTGTGAAAAGGCAATTCATCATTGGTGCCTGGGACAAATGGGTTGCTTGGTTCAGATGCAGATACTGTACATGCAAGTGGCTCGACCTGCCAGTCATGTTGTTACACTCCGAGTCCTTTCAGCCATATCATATATTCTCTTCCTTGTGCCAGGTGAGATGTTGCAAGCCAGTAATGAAGGGGTGGTTTGCTCGCGCAGAGATATAGTTATCACCTGACCTCTAGGACAACTGGTCACGTGTGTGCAATTCGTTCCCAAGACAGATAAACTTGACTTCAGGTAAAATTCGAATGAGATACACCACGCAAAATAATCAGCAGTGTCATTGTTGGATACACAGCCATTTTTCAAGGGATTCCTTGCAAACTGCAAGGGATACTGACACCAGTGACAATTATCCTCACAAGTCCTGGGCCTCCCCTAGGTCGACTCAGCCTCAAATGAGTATCTGGTGTGTAAACATTGCTATTGGAGAGACAAAGGTGATCGTGCATGGTGTTGGCCACTTCCTCCCTCGTGTACTGTGCTGGCCACAATAGGTGCTCGCTAACAGGACTTGCCCCAAAATTATCTTAAGGATATACGGGGGATCATTGTGTAAAAAAGCACTTCCACAACAACTGTTGACTGGCGTCTTTCTTTATTATATGACTAGACAGCTCCACTCTCTCTCTCTCTCCGGATGGTTCCACTCTCTCCCTCTGCCATGACGCGCGCCCTTTCTGCTCCACCGTCGCCGCGCGTCTCTCCCTCTTGCTCCCTGTCCAATGCTGGCTGACGGCGTGCCGGGAGGAGAGACGGCATCGCTGGAAGGACCACCACGTGGCCGGTGGCGAGTAGAGGGTGGCGATGACGCAGTCCGGACTCCAGGCTTCCCACAATCGACCTCGCATCCTCTCACTGCCTCCCCTTATATTCCTCTCAGCGGAGCAAGCTCCGCCTTCGGACACGCCCCCTCGTAGAACCTTCTCGACTGTCCTCGCACGTACTCTCTAGCTCCGCCCGTCACCTTTGGCCCAGATGGATCCCACACTTCTCATTGGGTATTAGTTACCCAGTGGTGGCTTATGCAGATACCCCTCGTCGTCTCCTAGATGGCGCTTTCTCATTACATCACCCCCCCCATGATGAAAAGACTAGCCGTCCCGGCTAGGAATGAACCCGAACAAATAATGGTAGGAGTGACATAACCCTCGTGGCAACAAGCACAGGTACATACATAACAAAAACGACTACATGAACAACAATGAACGTAAGAACAAGGATGTAAGGCGAATATCCACCACAGGCAGGGGCACATGTGGAACGTTAACAAAATCGGGACGTCTCTGAATGGGTCCGCGACACCGGACCATCCATGACATTCGTATTCAGCCCTGCATGGGTTGGCTCAGCAGGAGGCAGGACGGTCAGCGGAAGGGTGGTAGAGTCCGTTGCTGCGGGGCTAGATCGGGTGGGGTCGTCGTCCGCAGCAGCAGTCAATGGCTCGGGTACTGTGGGCGTTAAAATAGAATCCCACGGGGGATTAATCTGCAACCGCTCCGGCTCGTCGGACACATCATATCCCGGCAGGTCAATTTTTAGGGATGACGAAGCAACACGCGGAGGAATGAACGGTTTCAACCGAGATGGGTGAACGAACCAACGACAAAGACCCGCCCGAATGCGTACACACTATGGATGCCTAACCTAAACCACTTGAACAGGACCATGCCACAGCCTGTGTAACTTGGGAGAGGTGCCCTCAGGTGCCAACAGACACCCGAGGGAAATGAAGCCAGGCCCGGTCACTGACGGACCACGGCATGTCGCGGCCGGACCTGCGTGCACAACGCTCATTGCGAGCCTGTGTTTTAGAGGTGTTAACCCTAGCCGCCTCCCGCGCCTAAGAAATCTGGCACAGGGAGTCTCGAACATGGTCAGGTATGGTCCGTTTTGTGCCCCAAACAGTCGTGCCTAATTGGGTATCAATGATTTTAAGCTTTCGTGACTGCAGGAATCAAATAAGAACCAAAGAGTATGGGTATCAATGAGTGGCACATTCTCCCTTCCGTACATGAGGAAGCGTGCGGGGCCATTCTATATGCAGCGAGCACGCTCGGCACGTGTAAATCCCATCGGCCTGTTTATCATTGACAGTGTGGCAAAGCATAGCAGTCAGAGTACGATTCAGTCGCTCGACCATCCCGTCGGTCTGAGGATGGTACGGCAACATCCCGATTTTTCTAGTGCCCAAAGTGTCACAGACATCGCGGAGCAATTTAGAAGAGAAATTGCGACCTTGGTCCGTAAGCAATTGTTCCGGGGCACCCTTGTCCATAATGTGCCCATTCACAGCGGCGCACGGCGATGAATGCAAGAGCGGAGATGGTAGAAAAAACTATTTGCGACCGGAGGGCATTTCCAGACAATCCTGATTGACAAGAATCTTAACAGGCATTCTCCCAAGAAAATCAGTGCCCAACAAGCAGGGCACAGCCAAGGACCTCAAAATCAAGACCGGCCCTGACGCAGCGACATCCCCAATCGCAATGTGGGCATCAATCTGGCCAATGATGCCCATGCTACCCCCATTAGCAGCAATGCAAGCATCAAAGGCCAGCAAACTCGTGAAACGGGAATAGACAGAAGCTGAAAATTACATCAGAAATTATTGTAGCGGAAGCCCCCATATCCACTAAGACACGAACATCAATGCCCTGAATGGAGCCAGGTACCGTCGAAGATCCCGCTGCCGCCGGGACCACGTGACGTGGTAGATTTTTCCATTGCGTTATCGAGACAGGCCATCCCTTAGCGACAGTATCCGAATCATGTTACGAACGACCCTGCTCAGTGATATGAGATGCCTGAGGTGACAAATTAGGTCGGGTGTCCGACATGTGCCGACTCGCCTGCATAGGAAGATGTTGGGCCGTCGGAGAAGGAGTTGGAGCCGGAGCAGCAGGCAGAGTCGGAGAACGAGGGCGACTCCGGCAATCCCACGCGAAGTGGCCC